TGTACCACCACAAATATTCAATAATTTGTAAAAGCCGTTGAAAAAACAAAATAGCGCCTTTTACCTTGTATTTCAGCCAATGCCAATGTTGGATTTGTTGTTAGCTTTGTCAGGTTGGTTATCTCCCTGGTTATATTACGCACAACCAGCCGGCCCATGTATTGTTATTATTAATTAACGGTCACCATATTTTTTTGAAAGTGGAGCTGAATTGGTATGATTGGCTAAATTTTTACACATTTTGGTGTCTAGAATTACCTCCATAGCAATTTTAGGTCCCAAAAGGGCACTAGAAATGTCAAAGATAAGAATAAGAGCAATAAGCATGCACTTTGAAGGCAATAGCAGTCTGAAAACAGAACTAAACTATCTCTTTAACCGAAAAGCAGGAGTTGGTGTTTATTATACATACTTATACCAAATCTAGACTTCTGGAAACTAATACTTCTTACTACTAATTTGCCTCTATATTTTTCCATTAGAGGTGAAGGGGTGGGGGAGGGAAGGGGGAGGTCAAGTTAATACTATCAACAGGCTGGGAGTGAATCCCTTCTGAATTTTCTCAAACTATCACTGATCTATATCTCTTCTTATCTATTCGTTATTAAAACCAACCACCAGGTCGGACTCTCTCCCCTGGTTTGTCATATTCTCTCCCATCAACATCCGCACTTATCTTAATCAAAGAACAAGAAAATGATAACAGAGCCAATGCATGCAAAATCACCGTTACCCAAGACTTAGTTTTAATGATTTCTTAAAACTTTCTCTGTGTTTAGAAGTTATCTTCAAAGACATGGAGACAGCCAAGAAATGTGGCCTTCATACAAGAGAGACACTAATGCTACCACAAAGCTTTCAAATAATTCAAAACTACCTTGAGTAGGAGTAGATTTCAGTATATGGCTGATTCACTACAGAAAAGTACCAGAGCTTGGGAGTGCATGCCCAGTGCCCTATGCCTCAAGTCCTAAATATAATTCTACAATAGTTGCTCTAAAATATTACACTTACATATACATACAAAGACACTCTACTTATGTACTGATAATAAGAGATTAAAAATATGTTTATCCATCAAAATAATAAACATCCATAGGTTCTTGTCCCCTTAACGGAGATCATTTTCTGTTACGCCCTCAAAATTTTATTCTACGCAAGCATCAAACTCATTCTGTTTGTCATTTTTTCTCCCATACATGATTTCCGCATCACAAGCTTGCATAGAAATGTAAACATATGGTTTCTGTATACAATAATATATATTTATATATAAAACAAACTTGAAGTGATGATGGTTCAAGAAATGAATAGTACAATTACGTATAAATGTATTCTGTGTAATATAAACATGATGAAATCTGGCACTGGATCGTCACATTAGAAACGTACAAGTAATAAACAAACTTTTTCCTCCATTTCGTCAAAATGACAGCAGAGTATATACAATTATGCATGTTTAAAAAAATGAAGTTAACAATTTTATTTCACTGAAATTTTAAGTATTTACTCTTGTTTGTTTTACATAACAGGTATCAAAATTGAATGTAATTTCAGCTTTTACAATGCTCCTTTCTTTCTGTTGTGAATCTTTTCTTTCTTTCTTTCATAATGTACATAATCGGAAACACACATAAGAAGTGTATAACTACAGGTCTGAGCAAATTATTTCTACGCTGTGCAGCAAATTGAACGTTTCCACTGTCATTCCCAACTCACTATAACGGAGTCATGATGTAACGGTCAATAACACTCACTTCTTTAAACAAAATCAAAACTACTACATGAACTTCACTCAAAGCCAGTTCCCAAACAAAGAAAATCAGGAGATTTACTTTAACACTGAATTGCCTGTGTAACCCAAGAAGATATCTGATTTATCTGCCTTTAACAAAACGCCTTTTAGAACCCAACAACCATCATATAGTCTACATGGCATGTTTAAAAAAAATGTGAATTTTGACAAATGAAAATTCTTTAAAAAATGCAACTGTTAACACTTACAAAAGAAAGCAAGTACATCTACAATAGTCTGAAATTGAAATAAAAATATAAATTGAATCAATAACATTTGAAAAGGAAGCTTTCATACAAATTACAAAATAGAGTAACAGTTTAAGAATTGGAAGAATACATGTGCATCCAGAGTTGAAAGATTTACTAACTGAACAAAAAAACTCAATCAAACCAATTGCCAAAGGAAGAATATTCATTCAAATCATATAAACAAAACAAACTATTTCATCAAAATATAATATAGTTTTTAAAAAGTAAATTAAGATTCAAATGTCATGCAGTTACTTTTCAGAAACCACATGAAGTGAAGAGGAATCTGTACATGTACTTCTGGATAATCATGTTTACACTTTGAACATCTAGTACACAGCCAATCCGTTAACAAAGATGTGATGATGTTCTGTTTACACAAGAACTAGTGTATTAAGGTTGAGTTTTAACACTGGCAACACAATGGGAAATATACATCAAGTGTTAACCCTAGGTGTTGACATTAGCACTTAAAGCAATACAAATCTACAGATGTTAATCATAATATAGAGAGACAATGTAAAGAGAAATTGTGATTTGAATCGAAGTCCATATCCATTTTAGTTAAAATATTCATATTTGCACACCGGTAAACATGTGTATTTGTTTATTGATGAGAAGTGTTATGGCCCTTGACTTTTTTAAGGACACACTAGCCATTTAAGATGTCATTAGTTCAATCTTCCATACACACCTGCAGCAAAAAGGAGCCTGTATTTCAAGCGAGTGTTGAAATTGACCACTTGGCACTCAACTACATGTAGTCAAACCAGTCGTGGTGGCCACATCTCTATTAAGGCCCCCTGTCTTCAGTGGTCTCTGTCTCGGAAGATGTATGTATCGAAGAACCTGTCTAGAAAGGTCACCAGTCTACAGTGACCACTTTTCCTGTGTCTCTTGGGTGGTCTTTATAGACAGGTTTGACTGTACATGTAACTGAATTTAGAAAATTACCTCACCATGCCCCAACAAACTCTACTACGTCGAGATCCAATGGAGGGAGATTGACTTGATCAATACTGGATGCTCTTCACACTATAGCCATCAATGTAAGCACCTGCTTTTGACAAAAAATATTTGTGCGGATAATTTTTTCAGTGTGGCCCGCAGTTCGGGTGGAAAATTAATAGACGTAATGGAGTGGAAAAGAGGGATAACCTGGGGAATCAGATTTCACACATTTCAAGGTGATGTCTCTGCACAATACTTGTGGACAGTATTTGTAAAAGCGTAAAAATTCCAGTTAAAATGGATAGAGTTGGTTCATGGAATTCTTTAATGCAGTGTCAGCCTCTTCATCCATTAAAAATCACCATAATTCTGTAATGAAATGAATTTAAATCATGTCAAAGAGTAAACCTTTCCTCATGACTTTTTTATTTATAGAATTACAGTCATTTGTATAGGAAAAGAGGTTGACATTTGACACTCCAAAAATCATCTGACTTTGCTGTGCAAGGCCTAATTTGGTCTGTGTTTTTCTTCAAATGTGATGTTTAAATGTGAACAACCCTGAATGTTTCCAAAGGCACGTCCACAATAATTAGTTTCCAAACATTTATCATGACAACGTGCCAATGACTCTCAGTGGTGGCGAAACATGAGGAATATACTTATTACTTCCTGGGCACTCGTGATCAATAGGCCTGTCCTCATCAGCTCGAGATTGCCAAAAAGCCCGCTATTTCTGATTTGGGAAATAATCCAGAAGTTACAAATTGCGTCTTCATCAGCTCGAGACTTGACCCCGAAACTTGAAACCCGAGCTCGGGATATTTTGCTCAGCGTTCGCTCATAGTGCGAGACTTCGGACTGGTAAAGACACACCGGACAAAGAACGGGATATTTTGCAAACTAGCCCAAGATATCTTGGGATGATTATCTTGACCAAATATCCCGGCAATTGCAACTTCGGGCTGATGTAGACGCAAATTAACTAGATAATTTGGGATTGGGATAGTTCAAATAGCGGGATATTTGGCAATCTCGAGCTGATGAGGACAGGCCTATTGTGTCAATTTCTCTTGACCACAATGACCATAATAGCTAACATGTTTGATCACCTTTTAGTAATGAACAAGACTTTCCTTTACCAAGTGTATATCACATAGGTTTGTTCACATTTTCACCTACATGTAAAACTACTAAAATCACACAAATAATGTAGTGTTATTTTAACAAAGGCAGGAAATATCTCAGTATGTGAACAGAGAAAATACTTGTCATGAGAATTCTCTAAGTGTGAATATTTAAAATAGTGGCCATAGTAAGCAGTAAGCTGTGCAAATGTTTTATAAATGCCGTACTTGAATTATTTTCTTGATCATGGAATTATTTTCTTGATCATGGAATTAAAAAGTTTGATCTATAGAGTTCAAAGGTAATTAACAAAGAAATATGAGTGCTTTAGAGTGCTCTAGATTGAACAAGAATTAAGTTTAAAAGCTGGGTGTGTTCCAGTAATAATGAATCTTATATTTGACGATCATTTTTAATAGCCTATATACACAGACAAATACAATGTCTAAATGTAACAACAGCATTTGACTAAATATACATAACACATTGCAACAAGGGTCTAAATATGTGCAAACTACACAGCAACTATACAGGTACTAATGACAACTAACACTAGCAGTTTAATGGTTACATTACTCGAGTACAGGTAGCAGCATTTTGACATTTATACCACGATATGCCAATAAAAAGCTTTAAAATTGCAGGAAATTGCTTACAAAATTGCTTACAAAATTAGGAGCAAGATAAGAGAGTTACTACAGCTATACAGGTACAGTGAAGATCAAAATGGCACGGCATATGACCTTTTTTCTTGTAAATCATGTCTTGTTTAGATTAGACAATGTGGCTGCCAACTGGATAGAACGTAAAGACTCAAGGAAAATGGAGTTTGGAGACATCGTTACACATCTTTGTGAAATCATGTACTAGTATTCTACGATGCAAAAGTAGCACTATTTTTTTTTTACCAATTGCCATTTCCAAGAGGTTGATGCCCTGTAAGCATTTAAGATAAAAGAACGAGCTCCATTTTCCATTTGTGTGCTTCGATCATATCAAATCAAATACTCAATATACTTGTCATGTTCAGTTTTTCAGACTAGGTTTCCAAAGCTCACTTCTTCAAAGTATACATATGGTTGTCACTTAATTACCAATAACAACTTGATCACACTGATTTTCAAGAACGCACAACTGTATACATGTACACTCATTATTGCTCAATGAAGTAAATTTTAGTCTTGTTGGTATTTAAGTGTCAACCCCATAAATATCGAGCATAAAAGATGTTTGCTTAAGGGAGCTCTCTTGGGATATGCTGGAGTAATTATTTAAGATTTTCATCTTTACACAAATTCTATTTTTACATTTTACTTTCCAGAGGTGATATGCTTGCTGCTCTCATGTGCACGCTTCACTGCTAGGCATTTCTTTTGAATTGCTAATCAAAAAGAAAGATCTATGGACTGCGGCTCTTTTGTTCCTTTTTGTTTGTTCCATTAATCCCAAATCTTTCAATTTTAATATTCTACTTTGTTCCATCAAGTGAATGTACATAGACAAGAAACCACACACAGAAGCCAAAGTCTACAAAGCTAAGCTTAATTATATATCTTTTTTTGTCTTCCAATATTTTTTACATTTCAAAATGTACTTGAATTCAGCAAAAACCCATTATCGCACTTACACACTACAGCCACAGCTAGAATCATATAATAATCATTATGCAAAAATATATATAGTTGGCTGTACAAAATATTAATAATTGTAGGCTCAAATTTCTACATCTTTACAGCTCAAATACTACATGTACATATACAGAAAGATTTAAACAGCAACAACAAAAATATGATTTGCGAGTCCAAGTGGTTGAGACTCAAAATATAACAAATATTCACAACAATAGCCCCTGTACAGCTTATGTGAAAGATTGTGATCTCATGTCATGTGGTGACCTTTGACCTCTGGCTTCGACTCCCAACTCTGCCGTTCAATTATAAAAAGGGGCAGGGCTATGAAAACATACAGCACATGTTTATTGGCTTGTTATACTCTCTGAGGTCATGTATTGAAAATAGCAGCAGAATAAACATATCTATTTTATAGCAGTTACAGCAGTATACCAAAGATGACGTGATACTTTCTAGATTTGACTCAAATTTCATTTGTGATGATTTGAGCAATGTCACCTTGAAAACATATGCATTTGTGAGTCATAACTTCATGAAATTATGCCACTGCAATGCAGTGATCACATGCTTTTATGCAAGACCAGTGTTTTATATTCATCCAAGATGAAGAAAAACTTAATCGAATGTTTTGACTGGATTCCAAAGGAACTGGAACTTCCCTGGCCTTGTGTTACAAAACAATTGTGAGCTTATTGAAGCATTTGAGACTGTGCTAACACAAAGTGCATACCTATTTTAAAGAGAATTAAAAGGTTTCTTAGGGTGAATAGAAGGATTATGGGGAATCTATTTAATGTTTATCACAGGAAGCTAAGGGGAGACAAAAAAGGGGGATGGAATTTTAGAATAATTAATCTTTTGAATACATATTATTTTAAGATTCAAGATAACAAGGCAGAGCTTGAAAACATTTCAAAAGGCTGTGTCATTAGACTCATTGAAAATGATAGGGGAAAATGGAACCGTAACAAGTATAAATAAATCTTGTGGAATTATAGAATAATCAAGCAATAATCAAGCAATAGACAAGCAATTAAAAGCATGTTTCAATCTACACTAACATGTCTGGTTTATGAGAAAGCAGAAAGATCTTCACCATGATTTGCACAATGAACTGTACAGTATAGATTTTGAGAATATCAAAAGTCAGTTTGACTACTGGAAAAAGTACTTTCACATGTCTATGTCTGCCTTGGTGCAAAATCATCAAACAGCTTCCTCCAAATATTGTGTTTTGTGATGGCTTTCAAGAGGTATTTGAAAGCATGCTCCTCAAGCTGAACTCAGCAAGTTATTTTTCATTTAATCCTCAGGTGAGCTCTAAGGACGACCACTAGGAAGGTAAGAAAGTGGCATTTCATTTTTCAAATCTTAAGCGAACACCGGTTCCGTTTCAGAATGCTGAGTCATTACGAGAAGATGATGATTATCTCTGGGCCATGTTTAAGACAGCGAGAGAGAAAGGAGAAATCAAATTTAGCTGGATCATTGATTTCATCTCGGGGTGAGGGGATACGAGGAGACTAATCTCGTTACCTGTGACATATCCAACCCGACGTGAAGGAACTCTTCGGCACCCTCCCAGTGAGAGGGGACAAACCGTCTGGACAGACATGAGAGAGAGGTGGTGAACTGTGAGGAATGGCACTACTTAGTGGGTGTCTGTCTTGATACTGAGGAGACCCGGCCCTATTCATGCAATATTAATTCAGAAGAAAAAAAACTTGTAGGCCTATACGTGTAAAATCAAACCAGTTTCAGCAACCATCTGTACCAAAAAACCACCTATTTCTACAAAGACTACAGTTTTAGATTGCCTTGTGCACCAGAACATCAGTATGACTGAAAACTATAAGAGGAACCACTTGCCTATAAAGAGCGCTTTTATCATCTCCCTTGACTTTAGTGGTCTTTGTATAAAGGTATTACCGTATTAACACTCCATAGGAACATGAATAATTGTCTCTGGATAAGTGTACAGGTTCCTCATGTAGGTTTGAACGAGGAATACTCTCCAAGAAAAACAAGAACAACAGTTTGTGTTGACAGGTTGTCTCTATAAACAGGTCCCCTTTACTACAAGCTTCACTGAGAAATAAACCAAAGAGAGAAGATTGGCAGTCTTCATTAGCTGGTGGTCTTTACAAACAGGTCCACCTCCCCCCCCCCCCCCTACCCAATGCAATACATATTTCAAAAGAGAACACCACTTTTAGTATAAATTGTTGTTGTCAGTATAATGAAATTACAACTGTATATTCACACCAAAAAATACCCTACAAATATGCATTCATGTTGAGGTGAAAGGCTCAACTCTGTGGAATATAAATAACCTACTTCCCTATAACCATCAAAAAAGGGAATTTCAATTGATCCAGTCAAACGCTGTGATTCAAACTAGCACTTGATAGATATGTTTTCATAACGACTGTCATCACATGATGAGGAAATCCTGTCACACAGACCAATACCATCACGATGGGATAAGTATGTACGCTACACTGAGAACATTATCATAGTCTGTGTCTATTTTATTTCCCCTTTTAAGCTTATCATGGACTACTTTTGGAAATTCCCTCCTGGAAAGAGACAAACGGTAAACCAAATGTAGCGATGCAATCAACCCTGCTTTAGCACCCACCTATATATAAACTTTATAAAAGAGTAGACCATATACCGGTATTTTGTTTCCTTTGATCAGTGTTTCTCACTAAAACCCACACTAAAATCCGTACATCCAAAAGAGGGGAATAACCATTGATTAAGTTTACAAGAATTTAGGAAAGCTGCAGAGATCATGATGAAACGGCATTCATACATGTGCTTTGCACTTTAAAAAAAAAAAAATCAAGTTTTGAATATCTTTGAAATACCTTTCATATCTCTTCACATTCTCAGGGCTCCACACGGACGTTTTTTGGCAGGGGGTCCAGATCTGACTTTTTAGATGCATGTGCCCTATGAAAAGATTTTCAACATTTTGGGGGTCCCGAGTCCTGACCCAAATTTTGGCAGCCCATGTGTCCATGCAAATGATCAATGTAACTGTTATTGTACAGCCCAATATTTCAAACAGAATCTTTTATTTCCATACATGTACATTCATCAAAGAGCCACTTATTGACAGCTCCACATAAATCCCCCATTGTACATGAAGATGGCATTGTAATCTATCAACCATGTATATGTACTCTACTTGAATGAAGTGAAGTGGATCTTGGCCGTACCTTTACCAGCAAATTTGTGTTCATGTCTACCGTCTAAATATGGAATACTTTCCAGCTCCCACCAGCCAATATGGATGCCCTTGATAAATATTATTGGCATCATATACAGACATATAGGTATCGGTGTCAGTATTTAAGGACTTCTCTAAAACCTTGATACATGTACATGTGATGATTATACTTGAGTTGTAGTGTGTTGACGTCATAAAATATATATAAGTGGGTGTAAATTATGTCCTGCTGATGTTGTGGTATATTTTACTGTTTATTTTAGTATGCACAGCTATCCTAAGGAGTTTTTTTTTAATGGGGTTTTGAGGATAATATAAAAAATCATTATTACAATTTGTTTTTCTTATAAATTAAAAATATATTGAAGATTAGCAGTGTCATGCAATCAACTGACTTTGACAAAAAAAGTTTATATTTCAGTTGGGTTCAAACTTAATGCACTTTCATTGAGTCTTAAACTTATTTGCCAATTTGGATAGTTGAAAAAAAACAAAATCTATTGATTCAATTTTCTAAACCAAAATATCAAATCTGATTTCTGAAAACTATGAAGATCTACCTGTATATGGTTATACTTGATTTGTCAAATTACATGTACACCAAGCTGACAAATAACTGGATATAAAGATTTGATTGCTAATTATGGCATACAGTGTACACTACATTGTATACTCTCTCTCTGGGCATGCAAACTTGTATTACCAGTTACTGAGAAATTGATCGATAGGGAAACTACATGTACTTTACATGTATATATACAGTGTATGTTTATTTTGAATAAGTACCATACATGTACCATACAAATCTTTTGACATAGCTGATCTGACAAACAAGTTTTTGAGTGACGTTACCCTTTAAGACCATTCCTCACATTCACACAGTTCCTATTCAATCTCACAGCCCCAGGCTTCAAACGAAACACTGATATCCGCTTCCCTAAATGTTAGTGCGATGGGGGCGTAATGCCGCAGCTCTTCAAATGAAAGTCCATTTTCACTCAGCCAACTGTATCTCAATATAGATTAGGAAGGAAATATAGGTCAAGTTTGACGGAGTCGATTCAAATTAGAACCTAGAAAGACTGATTTTTACAAGGGTACACGTATATCTCCAGGGGCGTCCACTAAATTGGCATGTTCATGACATTTCTAATGAAATTGTGAGATTCTACACCAATTGCACAGGATAAGCACCTACGTGTACATACACTAAAGCACTGCTCAAACATGGACATGTTTTGTGGGGCAAAGAGGAAGGAACCTGGAGAAAAAAATATTTGCCCATAACAGTATGTGAATGTCACTCAATGTTATGCATGATATGTTTCCAACAAAGCCAGATGAGGATATGCAATGGCCCGGCTGCCATGTTTTTGTAGTACAGGGGTCGGAATTACAACATGTAAACCTTATTCTAATATGAGAACGCTAGAAAGTTATCTGCTGAGAGACATGACCTCAATTTGGGAGTGTAACATGACTTTTTAACTCACATCTTGTCATTTTACTAGAAAGTCATCTGTTGAAAGCCATAAGTTTGTGATCTTGATTGAGTTAGTAAAACGATACTTACTTGTGTCATTTGACATTATGTACCTGGCTAGCTAGAGTATGAATGCTGGTACATGCAGGTATACATTGACAGCTAATGCACATGTACTGTACACATTGTTATACATTGATGTTACAAACTACATGTATAGCATGCTACTGTGCGTTTAGTCTGCAGAAGTTTTAATGACTTTCTTCAGATGCAAGAGTCAATTCAACCTACCTGTCTAGCTTCTACAATTGAAAACAGTTGAAAATGCAGCATACATGTACAGTATACATCTAATTGATCACATTTCTCTGAAATCAAATACACTGAATGATTTTAATCATGATTTTTCAATCTTTGGAGTCTGGTCACCAACATGACATGAGAGCAACATCTGTAGTTTCCCACATGCGACACTTAGTATTAAGCAGTACAGAAAATTGCAAATTTTTTTCGTAAGATATAATACATTTTGATATAACAGCAAAACAAAAATGAGCAAAAAGATCTGAAAGCCGATGCGATCCTCAGAATGGATCAATCAGCGCTGATCTTCTTTACAACTTTATGTTTGTTCCAATCTTGTTCCAATCTTGTTCCAATCTTCTTTGACAATAACAAATTCCAAGCTCCTCTGTGAATGAAGGTATAAAAATTGCCAGATGGACTCCACCGAGCTAACACAGAGGGGTATTTATGGGACTAGGCACTAGGAAAAGAAAGGAGAGTTTGCATCACTGCAACATCAATCGCTTGAGGTTCTCTTGAAGGATAGTGTCCCGTACTGCTTGAAACACATATCTGATGTTGTTAGTGTCCACGGCCGTTGTGAAGTAGTGGAAGAGTGCCTTGCTGCCGCGTTCCCTGCGCCTTACGTCAAACATCTTGAGGATGAAATTCTGAACGTCGTTCATCGAGTGCGGGTCCCCCTGGAAGTTGGGGAAGTAGTCCTTTATGCTAACATGCTTGATCTTCTCCTCTAGCAAGTCCGTTTTGTTGAGGAAGAGGATAATGGAAATACTGGCGAAGCACTTGTGGTTGACGATGGTGTCAAAGATGTTGCACGACTCCAGGAGACGGTTGGTGATGCGGTCCTCCATGAGGACCTGATCAAACTCACTTGACGATGCCAGGAAGAGGATGGAGGTCACGCTCTCAAAGCACTGGAACCACTTCTGCCGTTGCGAGCGCTGGCCGCCGACGTCAACGAAGCGGAAGGGCACATTCCTGATGTCGATGACATGCTCCTGGAAGGCTTTGGTGGCCTTACGAGAGTGGAGGATATCAGTCAGGCTTGGTATGTAGTCCTGGAAGGCAACAGATGAGAAATAAGCAGTTTTAGAAAGGGGATCACACAGATGCTTGCAAGAGTACAGTACATGTACAATATTGTCATGTGCTCAGCAGAAGGGGACGAACGGATTTTCGTCACATTTCTAAACTGTTTCATTTTTATTGATGAATTATTATATAAAATCAATGTTAACAACTTGGAAAATGCATTGGTATAGACTAAAATGGTTGCAAAAGAAGTTGAGAAACAATCATATTTTTTTCAACATCCTAAAAGTATATCTGCTGTCCCCACATCTAATGTACATGTGCCCTTCTGCCAAGCATGCAACAATATTCTCAGAAATGGTCATACAAAACAGATGAGACCGAGACAGAATCAAAACAATAATCAAACATAAAAGTTCCAATGTACAATTATAGATTTCAAAATTCAAATAGATATTGTACAGTTCCCATAGATTCAACATTTGATCAATAGGCACTTGTACTCAGTACTTGTTGAAGATCAAATATGTACCTCACATTTATTCTCCTACTGGCCTCCTACTGACAAGAGCAAAGCATCATCTACAGGTATTTGTATAGGCACATTGTACATGTACACCTGTACATGTACATGTACGTTGGCCCGGCAATGCAAAGACAGGTGAATTTGTGCATACCGTAAATCTCTGTGTATAAGATGCACCTTTTTTCCGCCGAAATTTTTTTTTTGAAAGTCGGGGGTGCATGTTATTCACAGGTACAATTTTTTTTTTTTTTTTTTTTTAAGTTTTGATTTATGCCTCTCCACCTGGCATTGTGCCTGGCAATGTCTCCCAGCTCAGTCATGGAAACAAGAACAACACTATACCTGAATGTTTGGATTTCTGTTTGGACTTAATAGAGAAAAATTTGTCTGTCATCTTTAGTTTTAAAAACTGTATTGTTACTAATATTTGTGACAAGTTCATAAGCAAAAATCAGCACCTTCAACAGCACCTCACAGTAAAATAAAGGTCCTTCACGCTAGGTTTTTTTAACACAGACCTGACTTGCTGCCTACGGAGTCGACAAAAAAAAAAAATTCTCAGCTCCAAAAATAGGGGTGCGTCTTATACTGCGTGACGTACGGGACCACAGCGTCCCGTACGTCACGCAGCACATTAATTACATTTAAAATTAATTAAAAAATTGGTCAGAACTAAAACTTTCCACAAATGAACTAGCCCATAATAGCCACAGACTCATACCAAAAGATAGCCATATAAATAATTTCATCTGTTGTTATTTCTTGTTTAAAGTCTCTAAATGTCCCGTACGTCACAATCCAAATAGCTTGGACCTGCCCACTTTAGAAACTACATGTACATGTACATGTACATACATTATCAATATTAATATGGAAACATTACGTACTACCCTTCATGTCTGGTCAGTAATAATATAAAAAATGTGCCGAAACTAGAAAATTGGCAATAATTTAATATCTTGTCATCCTTTAAATCACATAATCCTAAAAAGCGGAATATGAATGCAATTTCCCACACTTCGGTAACCCAGTTCTTTGTGGCTAACAATAAAACATCCAAGTGCAAGTGCAAGTGCATGTGTAATGTGTAGTGTACATGGATTTTGGAAAATATCCAAACTTTGGATCAATTAAAGATTATGATAATGCTAGTTCTCAACTTACCTTTCTGCCTACTCGATCAATTTCATCCAAGAAGTACTTAACAGAGTCAGCCTGCAAATGGGAAGAAAGAAAGGCATTCGATAGTGACGTATACATGTACATATAAGTAAACAGAATTAGAGACACAATAAGGAAATATTATTCTATTAATACTCTCAATGGTTTCATTTTTTTTTCCATTTCCCCATAGGTCCATAACACAAATACTGAATAGTGAATACATGTACACAGTATATGCACATGTACATGCCGACCGAAATGCACATGTACACATGTATACAGTTGTACATGTACATGTAAATAGTGAGTAATTGTAAAAGAATATTGTTAAAGGTAAAGACCAGTATTGGAAATGCCCCAATTTCAAATAATGAAATGGAAGCTCTAATTACCAATCATGTGAAAGAATATGTTTTGACTAATACATGATGATAAAAAATTTGCCGGGAAACCGCCTACTAATTCATATATTTGGTAAATTTGTTTCTCTCATGGTCTGTGAGAGATATAGGGTAGTCCCATATACATCTTTCTGTGTATAGTGCTTGTAACTTTACGAAGAATGGGCCAAATTTCTTATCATTTTGATGATTCCAGAACCTTGCAGATGCTAGATGCTAGATGATCAATCTTTTCTGATCGATTCCACAACGTTTCTTTCACAATGCAATCGCATATCCATAACTGGTCTTTACCTTTAAAATAGTCTGTGTACCGTATATACAATGTAAATGTTCATATAGTACTTCAGCAACATTTCAAACAAGAAATATCTGTTGTATCAAACTGTATGTACAGTATATGTACCGGTATAGTGTTATCCTACCCATAAATCAATTCTTCGATGGATGCACAAAGTTAATCATTTCTTTGGGGAAACAGCGATTTGCATACAAGTATCAAACGCGTGCCCAACTTAGAATTTCACACAAGTACATGTACAGTACTTGTAGTACTAATGCAATGATTCTTTTTTATTTCATAGCAGATGTGGGTAAAGGAAAGTTTATTAGCGCAGTTTGCACCCAATAAATGACATCCTGAATGGCTGAAGGGAACCATAAGTTTGTCATTTCTCCTCAATACATGGAGATGATGCAGTGGGTGTCTGTTGCCATAGTAACAGATCAGTCATGTCGTAAACAAGCTTTCCTTGCATATGGGAAGTAGAGAAACTATGGTATCACAATGGAAAACATGTTATGGGGAACTGACCATACATGTATGTAATATTGGCATGCTCTCTCAATAAATTAGATAACATGACATACCGAGTTTATACTAAATGTTTGTTTTTTTTCAACAAGAGTTTTACATGTATTCATTTTAAATGTGGACACTCACTGCACATGCATCGTACAAGTTACAACACAAACGTTGAAGGCCTACAGTACATTTGTACATGATCTAATGGCCAAATGTGCATTTTTACTGTACATGAACTCTTGTATATTTAGTTTAGACAATTTATCTAAGACGATGTGTTTAAATGCACAGAGCCACAGAATGAAGAAACGATATGTTTTCTGTATTGCACGAGATGTTTTGTGTGACACCTTCCATTATTACACTGCCCTTTAAGTTCAACCTACACGTACATGTATCCTGGATACTCCACCGCACAAAGAGGAAGTACTAGCTTTAAATCATATTTCTATGTCTAGAAGCACTTCAGTTCAAGTATAAATCTGCCAATGCTTTAGAGGTCCCTCCTCCCTTTAATACTGCACATGTACACATGTACATCTTCATCAAAGATTGGAATTGATTTGATTTTGATTGAAAATATTCATGAAGCATACTGCAGTTTGGATAGTGCCATAGTAAAAGGAGCCTGAACATCCATAGTTTTGTTCGTTTCCAGAATTCAAATTTGATTGTATGTTGGTTTAGAACATTCTAAATTAAAAACTATTCTGTATGATATGACTTTCACTCATGTGTGTAGTGCCAGGTGGTGGACAGCTATTATATGGATAAACAACATGAGAAGGTATAGTATTGCAACATATTTGTGTCTTTAAAATGTGAATAGAATATCCCCCAAAACAATCTAAGAAGTTATTGGATATAACAAATAAGAAACATTTTTAAGTGTAATTGATGAAATTTCAATAGTACGCCTGTCGAGTATTTCCCAATTATTTCCTGGGAAATTGCCAGCCCTGTAAAATGTACATGATTGATTTCTCACGATGATGACAGACTGGGCATCATGTTTGAAAATGTTGTTTTAATGTATTCACTTCCCTGTTCTTTAGAAACTTTATTTACTGTATGTACAACACATGTAATGGTAATATGGCACATGAACAACCCAAACAAAGGCGTCATAGTCGAGTGGTTTAGAGTTAGACACAGGACTGGAGATGTGAAGGTCGTGGGTTCAATCCCGGTGCAGCACTAGTGTCTTTTGGCAAGACAGTAGTAGGATAACAGGACTACAAGAACTAAAGATGTATCCGCATCCTGTCTACCTGTAACCCTTTACAGTATGAGTCGTTAAGTACTGCATAGAGCTGGTTTCGATTCTACAGTATACAACTATACATGTAAAATGTAGGCAAAATCTGTTGAGCCCAAGTCCTACTAGCGGAATTACAAAATATTATTCATCAGGATGAAAGATAATGGCAGTAAAGAGCAAAAGAACTACATGTAACCCTGTAACCGATCATTGAATCAGGGGCAGATCGTTGGCCGATCAGGTGAAATCAGACAATAAATTCCTATCACCTATCAATGAAAATGATTGGAAAAAAATCTGCAGATTTTTTATTTTTATTTTAATGTCGAAAATTTTGGGCTATCAAATGCCAAAAAAACATGCATAGAAGGGATTATTTTGTCATTTGGATTTGTTGTAGACCATGTTTGTTGATATTTAGTGCCTTTTCATGACTTTGAAATTAATAATATTGGTCTAAGAGAAGAGGCAAATCATGCGAGCCGCCATCTTGGATTATAATGTAAGCACACATTTGTTGTCCATTGTCATCAAAATCCAAGATGGCAGCTCGCATGTTTTGCCTCTGTTCTTAGACCAATACATGTAGCCCCCCCCCCCCCCCTCCCATGTATGTTTTTTGTATGTTGCGTCATTTGTAAACATAAACAGCTGAAGCTAAAATGATAACCGGCCAGATATTTTTGTAACTTGTAATTGGTTGTCATTATCCATTTTAAAAAAATTGCCCCTGGTTCATCAGAAATTGCTCGTTGATCTGGTTAAATCCCCATGGGCAATAGGCAACTTTTAAAACTAAATGCCCCTTGCTCCTGGTCCCTTATTTCAGGCTTGTGTACAAGTACATGTACATCTACTTGTAGTATGCCGTCTTTTGAGAGCCGGAAGGGTGTTAACTCTGTGGAAAACTATCCTCCTTCTTGCTCTAAATAGGCACTGTTAAGTAGTGTTGGTAATAGTCCTGTCTAGGGGATTACCGCTGAAAAGACACAGCCTGTCACAGACACGAGTACATATTCTACCACTAGTATAACCACTTGTTGGAGCAAAGGAAATCAACCTCTCAGCTCTCACCTTCCTGGTCCTACACTGTACTCACAGGCCTGCATAACCCACATTCTACACATTGAAGAAAGTCCACAGGGCCTTGTGTGACACCTGCAGGCATTCAGGTCACGATGAAATATGTGGCAAAAGTCAAGTTTCATTGACAATGTCAAAACACAAACTTCAAGTTCAGGTACCTCAAAGTTGGTTGGAAAGACTTGTTAACATATCACACACAAATTTACTCTTATTTGGGATGCCTCTTCCTAAAGTGCCTTCTACTAGTACTTTCATAGCCTAAAATAGTGTACAGGCGTACATGTGTACAGTACATCAAGTACTAGTACATGTAGGTCTACATAATGAACAGACACCTGTTTCACTACTACATGTACAAAGGTAGTCCATTTGTTGTTATGATAGGAACACATCAGGCAAACCTTTGTCAAACTACTCCAATTTCGCCAAAATCTAAGTCTGGACTCTGGAAACTCTGCATGCATTTACCTGTACCTGTACTGTACATCTACAGGTACCTGTCAAAACCACACTGAGGCTGAGTCAGTGGTAGTGCTGATTCACAGGTAATCAGTTAATCCATTAACATGTACAGAGGTGAACCACTGCTTAAACCAGAGCTGATCTTCTAGATAGTTTCCATTCCAAGGGCTCTTTCACACAGTAAAAAATAAAAGTTAAACATAGCCAAAGCTGATTTTACAGAGGACTGTCGGGGACAAGTTCGTTTTCAAAGCAAAAATACAGAGGACCCACAGTGTATGAAGAAGATCAACTCTAGCTATTAAAGCATGCTAGAGTTGATCTTCTCCATACATGATTGTAAGAGCAATGGAAGTGGAAGGGCTCTTTCACACCATACAGGTACAAATGTAATTGAACCACCGGTTAACCAGAGTTCATCTTCAAGAAAGTTGTCAGAATGTAGCTTCTTTCACACCTCCATGAGAAAGAATTACAACATGTACAATACAGGCACAAAATCTAGTAGAAAACCAACAACCAATGCTTGTAAGCTTAACCAGAGCCTATCTTTTCCCCCTACCCCCCCCCCCCCAAAAAAAAATGCTAGTGTTTATGATACATGTACATGTACTGTACGTCAATTGATCTGTATAACCTTTGACCAGACAATCCCAAAATCTCCTCACTTTGCTCCCTACAGTGATTTTCACAACACGTAATTATAGGTTATAAGTTCATCGAGAGTCATGTGACCATTCACAATTGTTATGAGAGCGGCATTTACACTGCAAAAATCAGGTGGATTTTTTCCCTTTTAATTTCAGTTTTTCCTCGTGTTTGCCGGTAGATGGTTAGCGACTTCTGACGAAACACCGGAATGTGAGAAAAATGGATGATTTTTGCTTGCATTGTAAATGTAGCCTCAGTTCTGTGGTGATGATACACACCAATTTTTTTATTAGTGTGCATCACCATATTGCATGACTCAAATTAGTAATTCACACATGGCAATAAAAGGGCTTAAACCCTTAGATTTCATTGTACATGTACATGT